ATGTTTTTAGAAAAAAGGATAGTGATATTAAATATATTAGGATATATGCAGGCATGCATGAGCGCATTCACACACATAAATATATACGCCCCCCACACACACAAATCCACACACACACACACACACACACACACACACACACACACACACACACAAATACACACGCGCACACGTGTGAGGGAAATACATGTTGTGTATACACATATTTATTTGTGTTGCACACTCGTAGTTATATATCACAAGCGTTCATATAAACATACGCATAGACATACGATTATATGTTACTATTATTATAATTATAATAATAATAATAATAATAATAATAATAATAATAATAATAATAATAATAATATAAATATAAATATAAATATATATTATAAGAAAGCATTTTGAAGAGAGTACTAATTAATAAGATAATTATTGTAAACAATGACTACTGATTAATGCAACAAAGTGGACTAATTCGCGAGTAACCTTTATTCCTAACAAGAATGAAAAATTAATTAATTTTAGACAGAATAATAATAACTAACAATAAAAAATATTAATAATAATAATAATAAAAATATTAGGTATTAACAATAATAATGATCGTAATGTTCCTTAAGATGCGATATAATGCTAATAACAATTAAGTAGAGAAACAGTACGAAATAATAGATATAAAATAGTAGTTATTACAATTTTACGATTTTCATTGTCTAATGGTATTGAAAGATATATTCACAAGTAGCGTAGTATTCTAACTGATGGTGAAAAATTTAAGCGTAAGATTCCAAGATCGAGAGATATTGATTGTATGCGTAGGAGGGGAAAGAAAAGTGAGGTTTAATAACCAATTATAATAAAAATGACGATGACGGTTATGACAATGACGTTTCAACATAGTTCTGAGCAGTTTTACGTTTATTTAAATCTTTTCAATAATTTTTCATCGATGAATTTTCTCTGGTATCTTTTTTTCCCATATTTTTAGCATAACATTTTAAGCTAAAGTATCGATAAATAACGTTATCATTTAAATATATACATTTATACAAGCACAAGTTTTTCTTCTAAAATATTATAAACATCCTTTATATGGGAAATATCGCAAGTATTTCACGATTTAAAAAATGTTTCTCGAATCATTTATTTGTTTTATTCTTATTCACAGATACAATTAAATGAGATCTCATTTAAGAATTTTTATTCAATCGATTTCGCTATTATTCGTTTTTATACTTGGCCTTTTTGTCGAATAGAGTCACTGTTTTTTAAATTATAAACTTGATCGGAATATATTTTTTTTTTATTTTCGATTAATATATTATAATTATATTTTGGGCATGTATTATTTTAAAAAGAAGTCATGTTGCACATATCAGAATTTACATCGAAAATTAATTTTCTTATTCAATTTTAATCAAATACACAAATGAACATAAAAATGATTTGGCACAGATTACGATGTTGCTGAAAATTCAATATCAACTATATTTAGTTTCCACGAAACTAAAGAAATTGTATGTCCTTTTTGTGTTTCTTGCCACAGAGAAAAAAGGCCAGAAAGAATTCAAAGTATGGAAAATGTAGGATAATTGAATATCTCGTGTTATTAATACACACGCTACATCTGTATACCATATCTATACATTAGCAGGCGCTCGCACGCACGCACGCACGCACGCACGCACGCACGCACGCACGCACGCACGCACGCGCGCGCGCGCGTGCGCGCACACACACACACACACACACACACACCAAATCAAAGGTCGGAAGCTTTCTCAAATTAGCGGAAAGATATTTGTTGTGATAATAAATATTGAATATATAGCTGTTTTAGGGTATGAATCATTCCTATAAAAAATTAGAATTTAAATAATGTGTCGAGTTAGCGTGAAAAAGTAACATTTTCAACAATCTCAATTTTTTTCTATTCGAGAAAAGGTTCTCGTGAACGCGGATCGAAACGAACCTGTCCCATTTTCTACTTCTATCTACGTCTCTGTACGCGTGTCGATTGAACGAGAATCATTTTTCTTTTTATCGAAGATAGACACTTGTATCGTTAACATACACGTACACATATTTAAATATGCTTGTTAAAAGAACAATTTAACATGTACAGGGTGTTACATAAATGATAGTACAAGAGCGCAGTTACAATTCTGATAAAAATAAAATGATAATTTTTCAGAAATTAATCCTATTTTGCTTCTAAGATCGTCCCGGTTTCAAAATAAAAAGAAAATAAAAGAAACAAGACATTTATTCATGTTTTTTAACAACGATTTTCTGAAAAAATAAGGAAAAATGATGAAAGAATAATGAATAAAGATGGGGGGAAGGGAATTAAAAAAAAATAAAAAAAAAATAAAAAAAATTAATAAAAATATAGATATAGATATAAAAGGAAAAATAAATGACAAGTGAGGAAGGTAGAAGGGAAGAAAATGAATAAATGTAATAACGCGTGTTTTATTTGAAAGAAAACTGTTCTATATTATATTATAATGCCTCCTATACGTATTAAGTACCCTCTCTTCGTATTACGGATTATTCTTAAAGCATAGGTTATACATATAATTTATCGAAGCGAATTTTTTCTTTTCGATTACTTTAATCATATTATCGTCCTATTAAAGTTTTATTAAAAATATTCTTAAAATCTATTCTTTACATACTGCACATGTTTTCTTATAGTACAGGGTATTTAGGTACAACAGAGGCCGTTATACCACTAGTACTACTCTAAATAATCTAGTACTAACAAACTCGTTTTTAATGTTAGGAACATATGTATATAATAACGTTTGTTTGAGATTGTGAGAGATTAATTGGAACTTTTTTAAACGAAATTATCGAGAAAATCAAAATCGGAACGCGCACTTACATTTGAATAGTTAGAAATGTTCGTTGATTATTTTTTATCATTTGGAAAACAGAATTCAACTGGAAAATATTTGCATAATTTGAATCCGGGAATCTTACATATCGCATTTTCAGCTTTATTTTGCACACCCTATATACGTTTATTATACGTATATATGTGCACATCTGTGTACGCGTGCGCACGTATGTGAATATGTATGCGTAACATGTACACGATATCTTTATATACGCATACATATATGCGTTTCGCCCGAGTGTATATATGTTAAAATACACGTGATCAGCCATGTAAATATGCATATATGCATTTTGTATGTGTTCATACGCATACGTAACACGTACACATGTATACATATACATACATATATATATATATATATATATATATATATATATATATATATATATCGCTTAGAATAAACTTTCTTACATACAGGGTGTTTTAAAGATTGTAGTACAAGAGAAAAACTGCGGCCTTTATTATTAGAAAGATATATCTAAGGTGTCTTGAATGTGGAATATATTATTATCGCGATTTATCTATAATTATTTTCTTTCTCTTATCGAGAGAGCAATTACAATTCAAAATTCTACGTGGCTGCAAATTGAAAATAACAATTGAGTTGAAAATAATGCGATTATTTTTCTCGTTTATGTTTCTTTCTTTTCTTATTTTAATGGAGACATCATTAAAAATATACATATATAGAGAGAGAATATATTCGGTGAAAAGCGATAATAATAAAGTTTTATCAAATCATAATCAATTTAACTTTATACATTATACAAATTTTAACAAATTTAAAATTTCTCGTATCAAATTTTATCATTATATATATATATATATATATATATAATGATATATATATATATATAAGAAATATATATATATATGTAAGAAAATTTAGTTGTCTTGGCAAAATATTATATTGCTGGTGGTGGTGGTGGTGGAATTTCAATTTTTTTTCACATTATTCAACGCATTACAATCTTTCGCTTATTTTGCTTCGTAATTAATTCGCAATCAAATTTTATTTCGAGTAATTATGTGTTCAATAAAATAAACGTTATTTTAATCGATTATTTTTTTTAATATCGTTATATTTTATCATATCATTATTGTGTCATTATTTATTCTATACATTTAACGAGATAGTTTGAACGAAAGAAAAATTTTATTGTTAGCAAACGAAAATTTCAATTTTCAAATATATAGAATGTTAAGATATAATCGGTAAAAAAAATTAAAAAATCGTTTTATTTTCTACTCGAACATTTGTTATGGTCTAAATTATCTCTTGCACCATTATTTTTTGATCACCCTGCATTCTCAAATATTTGTTTCCTTAAACGCAGACTCTTTTTTTCACGAATGGAATGTAATCTAAATGCGTACGCTTTTTCAGGATTTTTAGATCAATCTCTGCGAAGGTATTAATCGATTAATACAGAATCGTACCAATAAGCAAATTAATTGATTGATAAATCGATGAATTAGTTAATTCATTATAGAGGTATTAAAATATTATACATTTATATAAAAAGTCTGGAGATAAATTAACATGTTTTTTTTTCATTTATTATTTATTTTTAATCCGAATCTATAGAAGTTAATTGTATTAATTAACATATATGTTTTATATATATATACATATATAAGATATATATATATATATATATATATGTTTTATATATATATATATAAGATATATATATATATATATGTTTATATATATATACATATATAAGATATATATATATATATGAGATGCATATGTATATTAATTAATTGTATGAATTTAATATATGTTTATATTAAGATATTTACTTTTTTCTTCTTTATTTCGAAAAAATCTCTGGGTTGCTTTTTTAATTACTTAATTATGTAATTGTTGAGTGAGAATTACGAATAACGAGTGATTAAACGATCATGAGTGTTCTCTCGTTTTTTTTTTTTTTTTGATAGCTATAATTATAATAAAAATAAAGTTATTTAAAATGAAATCTTTTTCCTCTTTTTTTTTTTTTAAATTTCCCTCATACAACTAATTCTATCGATTCGAATAATTTATCGTTATTTCTTCTTTCAGCATTCTTCATTTTTACAGTTTTTTTTATTTCAGTTGCAGAACGGATCTCTCTTTAATCCTTATACTATTAATTTTTTTTTTTTCGAAACTAATCGCGAATTATTTTAAATAATCAACAATTGACGTTATACGGAACTCTCGCTATCATTTATCATCATATTTGTTCATATATTAAAAAAACAAGTAAGTAAATTATCCAGCTCTTTATTTTTATTTTATCGTTTACATTAATTCATATATTAACATTACACATATAAACAAAGAAAGATTGCAACCACATAATTAATAAAAAGATAAATCTTTATCTAGAAATAAAAAAAAGTATCTTTACTTGCGAATAATAATTATTCGAATATCAATGGAACAGATGAAATAATATTTTTCACCCATTAGAATCTATCAAGCAAAATATAATTTCAATGTTATCGTGCATCTTATCTTATTTTTAGATTTTATTTTTCTAATATTCCAATTATTTTAATCGTTATAAATATAAATATGTAGCGTGATTATCAAATTTTTATATATATATATATATATATATCTAAAATCAATGTTATTTTAATATTATTCTCATTATCTGTTCCATTCCAAATCGATGAATATTTTATATATTTATTAGGTTGTTCGGAAAGTAATTTCATTTTTTTCATGACAATGAAACATACTTTTTTAATAGCATATATGTATTTTATTTAATTATATATTGACCATTATGGTCCAATACATATTGCCATCTCTTAGGTACTCGCATGATTCCAGGCTCTTCTGATCTTTGTTTACAAAATAATTTGTAAATTCAACAAGTGGTTTTTGACATCTTTATTTGAAGTAAACGTTTTGCCATCTAAGGAATTTTGTGAAGAAATTGATAGTAATCCGTAAATGCCAGATCTGACGAATATGGTAAATACGATAACACTTCCCATCCAAGCTGTAACAACTTCTGACCATTAAAACACGAGTTATTAAAACTAGCGTGTAAGGTCTAGCGTTATTGTGATGAAACTACATCTTTCCTGTTAATTAATTCTTTTTGTTTCTTTTGTTTGATGGAATTATTTAATTTATCCGATGATGGAATTATTTAATTTATCCGATTGATTGCAATACTACGAATTAATCGTGCAATTATCAGGTAGAAACTCAAAAAAAAACAACTCCCTTGAAATCCCACCAAACAAATCACTTTTTCGAAATGCTTTGCTTTGGCTTATCTCTATCGCTCCATGATCGTTTTCGTTTAATATTGTCGTATTACTTTTCGTAAATCGTAAACACTTTTCATCTGCAGTTACGATTCGCTTTAAAAATGGATCATTTTCCTCATGTTTGAACAGCAAATCGCAGATATCAATGCAACGGAGCAAATTTCTTTCTTTGAGAACCCAAATATTCGAAACGAAACCAAGTCGTTTCATGTGATCATGAGCAGTCGAATTCAATAAATTCAATCTCGTAGCAATTTCTTAAATTGTTATTCATCGGTTTGCTTCGATCAGTGCCTTTATTTTATCTTCATCAATTTCAGGTGATCTTTCAGAACATGGCGCATTTTTACAATATCGAAATTGTTGAAACGAAATTTTAAAAACCAATTTTGACACTTGCGTATTTTTAATATATTTCTCCATAGACTTCATTCATAACTTTTTTCTTACCTGAACAACATTTTCACCTTTTCGGTAATAAAAAAATAAAATATGCCGAAAATGCTCATTTTAGTCTTGCATCTTCGTTATCATACACAAAAAACATAATCGCACAGAATCAAACGAATTTTTCTTATAAATAAATCATGAAATGCCAATTTTCAAAATATATAATAACAGGGTTTAGAATGAAGTTGGCTGGATAAACGTTCAACTAGCAACACTTGTGTGAAAAAACTTACTTTCCAAACAATCTAATATTTATAAAGTGAAAGAAATCGAACGATTGAAAACGATTTTCGAAAATTTTCGAAATAATGTTCCTGATAAGTTCAATGTTTTTACGCTATATTTTAAAAATATATTATTTTGTCCATTTGCGAGACACAAACTTGAAGCAAATTTTAAAAAGATTTGCGAGATTTATTTGATGATCAATTTTATAAATATAATTTTCGTACTTTTGCTTTTTGCCAAATTTTTCTTTTCTCTTTACTGTTATAATACTATTATTATTATTATTATTACTATTATTACTATTACTACTACTACTATTATTACTACTATTACTACTACTACTACTACTACTATTACTACTACCACTACTACTACTATTACTACTATTATTACAATCAGTACTACGTATTCTATCCGTTGAAGATAGAGAAATAGAAATATAAAAGATAATAGAGAAGATGAAGAAATATAATAATGAAAGGAAAGCAGGAAATTACGTTCAAATTCAATTCAATTACGTTAAATTCAATTCTCAATTTGTACAAAATTATATATGTAATTTCAATTTTTTTATTTTTTTAAAATCAAGATAAATATTTATATAAATATTATATAAGCGAGTCTCATTTATTTTTTTAATATTATTCGGAAATAATCGAGCTTTTTAATATTTTGATATTTAAATATACGGTATAATCATTCAGAATATATTATTTGAAAATATTAGAATAGATACATACATACATTATTAGCGATTACTTTCATTTTATCAAGTTTCAATTTTATCAATTTAGTCTAGTGTTTTAGCAATAGAGAAAAAATAAATTTATAAGTTTTTTTTTTATAAGAACAATAATTATTTAAAATATAGCGATTTTTTTTCAACTTTTTGCAGGAAAGATCATTCACGATATAAATGATGTAAATAAATGTAAAAAAATCAATTTTTCTTTGAAATGATACAATTATTATTTTAAATTATTCGTAAAATTTTTTCAATATATCTTCTCTTCAATAGATTTTATTATATTTAATAGATTTATATATATTTAAATTATACGCGTGCACTTGCTCTTGCTCTTGCTCTTGCTCTTGCTCTTGCTCTTGCTCTCTCTCTCTCTCTCTCTCTCTCTCTCTCTCTCTCTCTCTCTCTCTCTCTCTCTCTCTCTCTCTCTCTCCCCCCCCCCTCCCCCCCCCCTCTCCCTCTCCCTCTCCCTCTCCCTCTCCCTCTCCCCTACCTCCCTCTCTCCTTTCTTCTCCTTCTCCCTCCCCCTCCACACACACACACACACACACACACACACACACACACACACGCCTCGTTCAATAAAAATTCTTTAGATTTATTATGATTATCGATACAAACACTTAGGAATTATAAGAAATGGATATAATGATAATATTGACTAACTATTTTTACCATATACAAAATGATAAGGAGAAAGAGTTCATAATATTTAAAATAGGCAGTATAATACTTGTTGAATAAAGAAAAACTATTATAACAAATACGAGTCGAAAAATAAATGACGAATAATTTGTTCATTTCAGGAGAAATCGCCTATTCTCGATTATTTTTTGTAATCGGGAAAGAAAGAAAGAAACGTCGTTTTTACGTAATATGTTAATCGTTTTATTATATATTTTAAAAATTACGAATCCTTTTTCTTTATCATCCTGTATATTCTTTATTTCTAGTCGAATACTAATTTGTCTTCCTCTAAAATAGAACTTACAAAACGTCATTGTCAACGTTCTCTAAATGGGAAATTTCTAAAAAGTGTTTCTTAAAATTCTTTAATAACGTAATAAGATATAATCGTAAAACTTGACGTGAAATTAATATAGTTTTTATCATATCAGGATTATTCTTTTATTTTTTTTAATATTTCTTTTTTCCATTTCTCTTTCTCTTTTTTTCCAATTTAATCCAATAGCATGTCATATTGAACAGAGTATCGATACAAATTGTGGTCTTGTTCTTCGTTTTTTAAAAGTAAACTTTTGAATATAAAGTGTAATAAAAGAAAATTGGAGGAAAATTTTTATCAAATTATTCAATTTTACACGTTACAAAATTTGAAATGAATTTCCTTCGAAATAGATATCTTTCTTTACCAAATATATATATATATAAAACATCTTTTTCAATTTCGCGATTATTTTTGCTCGTCTCGCGTCTAAAACACATCATAATAAATGTATGTCATAAATAATCGCAAAATTGAAAATATCGACAAATTGGAAAAAAACGCTTGGAAAAGTATTATATGGCGGAAAAGATATACCATAAATTTCGTTATGCTTTAAAATAAAGCGTTTGTGTCAAAAATTCCCCAATTTTTTCATCGCATTTTCGATATATTCGGCGAGACACCAAAAAGATGTTCTTGAGAAAAAAAAAATATTACGTTTGTAAATCGAAATTTATCATGCTTGGAACTTATGATATAGATTATACATAGCATTACAAATCGTAGAATATAATCGTGCGATATTATAATCGAGATTACTTACTTATCTTGAAAATAGAAAAAAAAAGAAAAAAAAGAAAAAAATAAAAAAAAAAATAAATAAAAATATATAAACCACAATCTTAATCTTAAAGCAAATAAAAATTAAATGATTAAACAAGACAAATTAGATTTAAGAAAGGACGAGAGAGAGATTTCTATTTCGAAATGCTTCAATGATAAGGAGAAACTGTCGAGAGAAAGATGTCAAGATGTGATTTATCGGTGGAAGACAGTTCTAAAACGAAAAATGATTTACATGAGCATATGATAGCGCTGCTCGACGTGCAACACTACGACGGATTAAAAATCGAAGCCTAAAAAAAGAAAGCCGTGTCGCGTTTTTACCGCGATCGTTACTTCTGTACTTCTTACATAGTAATATGTTCTTCGATGAAAAGAAAAATACTGCGAACATGTGTGTAATCGATATCGAGATAAAGAAAGAAAGAAAGAAAAAAAAGAATAGAAACCGTTTTTTGAAACGGTATTGAAAGTGTGTGCATTTCTGTGACCACTGTACCTATACCGTTAGGCCTTACTTTAGAAAAAAATCATAAAAGATCGATATTTAAATATTTTTTCGAAATGGATAGCATATTCGTTGCAACTCGGCGTCTTTTGAGCAACAATCAGAACGTAAATACAAGGAAGATTTTGCTTTGTCAATAAGAGAAGGTGAAGAGAAAAAACAAAAAAAAAAAAAGAAAAAAAAGAAGGAATATTGAAATGCGTGTAAGTACCATTTGTACCGCATTTTTTAAACGAAACAAATGTAAAGATGAACGCGAACGACAAGGAACACGATTCGAATAATCCATTATAATTTTACGCTATCCTTCTGAAATAAGTCTCAATCGTTGAACCGTCCTTACAAACTTTACCATCTTATTGCCACTTCATTTTTTTTTTTTTTTTTTCTTTCCTTCTTCTCCTCGATTGTGATCATACGTTTTTCAATGCGAGACTATCAAGTGCCAATATTGCAGGGAACAATAATCAAAAGAATAAAACAGCCGATTCATTTCTTTTAATTCTGTCATTTCTTTTAATCCTTTATGTAATTTATCATCAGTTTTTAATTTGCAAAATAAAATATAATTTCTAATCGATATTTTATATTGGTTACATTTTAATTCGGATCGAATATCCAAACAATTTTGCGTACAAATTATATTTGTGATTTTTAAATTTTTACGAAATTATATAAAACTGAAGGGTATAAAGAAGCCTTAAATGAGAAGAAAAAGAAAAAGAAGAAGAATTGTGAAAAATTATTGAGAAAGATTTCTATAATTTTAATTTCAAAATATCGATCGATTTGAAATAATTTATACGTTTCTTTAATGTAAATAGCTAGCACTTAAACTCTGCGTTTTAACGAAAATGAATTTTGCGAGATCAAACTAAATATAGAGCCTATTAAAAAGTAATCGAAAGTGCCGTAATATCGACTGAAATCGTTATTTTTTTACATGAAAAGATAAAGCCGATAATATCGAAGATATGGATAATCCATTTCTTTCTCTTTTTATTTTATTTTTTTAATCCGTCGTTATTAAATTACATAGCGATTAGAAGGCTATAAGAAATATTTCTTACGGTTAAGATTTTTATCGTTAAATTTATAATTATATTTTTCGATAATCGAGAAGATATTTCATCTTCTCAATTTGAGACTGACCGATCACTGAGTGCTGATTAAAAAAAGAAAAATTGCATATATATTTTTAGATTTTCTTCTCGCGAGGAATAAAAAAGAAATCGATTACCGGAATCGTGTCCCTTGTCAAATTAGATTTTGATAAGGAGAGCAGTCTTTTTGCCGCTCCCAAATATAAGTTGTATCTATTTTTATTTCATATAATTACGAATTATTTATTTTACGAATTTTAATATTTTGATTCTTCTTGTGGTTATTATTCGATTCGTAGATTCATAAAACTTTATAAATCAAGATCAAAGTATCTATTTGTAATTAATTGTAATGATTAACGATTACAGGATACTCGATACTTGTATTTCATTTCCTTTCATTTCATTTTATTTCTTCATTCGTTTTTTCTAAAATGTAAAAAAAAAAAAAAAAAAAAAAAAAACAAAAATTTCAAGCGCCATTTTAATATCAATTATATGGATCGTGATTAGAAGTATATCCGTAGTTAGGGTAAAATTAATATCATCGATTGACTGCCCGATTTTTATATTTTAACCCAATTCCAATAAAGAATTAAAAACTATAAATTATTCGATAATTTTAAAAAATTATTGCGACGAAAAAATATCGATTCGTTTTTTATCATTTCTTTTTTTCCGCAATCTCGAATTATTAATTTAAAATCTTTCTTATGCAAAAAATTAACGATATCGATGATACGATAGAAAAGTTGAAAAAGTTCAGATCAAATATATAATAAATCAAAAAAAAATTACAGTTCAATTAAATTCATCCATCATTCATCATCCATTATTTTTTTTTCGTTTTTGCTACTTACTTTTCATACTTTTCATACTTTTTTCTCGTCCGTTCCTGTTTCAAATAAAATGATGGTACTCGAATGAAAATAAATAATTAATAGTGTTTTGTTTATTTCTCGAAACTAAGTAAAATTTAAATAAATAAGATTTAAAAAAAATAATTTATATTAAACCATTATGAATCACGATCTATGAATCACGTTCGATTTTATTTTATAAAATTGCGAAAACTTTTTTTATTTTACTCTAAAAAATTTATCTTTATTCAAATTTTTAT